AAATTTAAAAACTAATAACAATTATGCTTTAATGAATGGAAACAAGAGCATAGTAATGAAAAGGATGTAAATATGATTCCAATTTAGTTTAAAACATATACATATTAAAATTCACAGGGAAATATATCAAAATATTAACACCATTTATCTCTGTGTGGTGGAATTACGTGTGATTTTTATTTTCTTCTTTATTCTATTTAGTTTTTCTTTCCATTTTCACACAATAAGTGCACATTACTTTAATAAACAGAGAACAGTAAAATGAGCTTGAGAAATGTGGTATCAGAAAGCTTTTCTTTGAGTGATTGCACAAGAAAAGACTAGGTACTTGTAGCAAAACTCCTGAGGGAAGCGGAAATCTCGGCCCAGATGGTGGGGTCAAAATGCAGCATAGGAAGTGGAGCAAAAAGATTCAGACTGAACCAAAACACAGACAGTTCCCAGGTGGGTGGTTTTCTACACGAGATCTTGGCCAGGAGCGGTAGGAGACGGCAACGGAGGACTAAGCTGGGTTTGGGGTGGGAAGGCCCGGAAGGGTGGGCTGGAGCCCCGCCGCCTGCCACCCCCCGTCCACATTTGCTTCCATCCCTGCCACAGGCACCGCGGGTCTAAGCAAGGGGGTTGGAGAATCACCCCGGGATAAGGTCAGAACCCACACTCTAATCTTTGTGATGTGTCTCACGTAAGAATGCAAGAGAATTTACTCAGTGTTCCTGACAACTGAGGTCATTCCTATATTCTCTTCAATTCACTGGTCCTTTCTATTAAAATCTTAAGTTAACAAATATTCTAGGTAGCAACATCTATAGGTACTTGGTCTGGAAGAATGCTTGCTGCCTGAGCTTCAGAGTTATACAGAGTAAAGTGAAGCAAGAACAAATCGAATATAGAAAGGGTTGCAGTGTTGAGAAGCCGGGCGTTTTTGCTTTGATCACTGTGACGGTGCTGAACACGGGAGGCAGAGCAGCTCCGGTACCTGGGCCCCGAGAGCGCAGTCAGGAAGTGCCCTGCGGAGCCAGGCCACGCTTGGCAAAGCTGAGAGCTGGGCTCTGAGACATGGGCAGTATTCCGAGAGCTCGGGCTTTGAACATTGAAACCTGCCGGAAGTTTCAAGGTGGCCTCTCTTCTTCAGGGTCCCTGTGAGGCAGAGCTGGGCCTCTTTCGCTGTCTGGGGGATGACAGCACAGAAACCTCTCTGGAGCTCTGTCTCCTGACTGTCGCCACTGGCCACACGTGGCTGTTCAGCTCTTGAGGTGTGGTCACTCTGGTTGCGATGTGCATGTAAGGTGCACGCCGGCCTCCAAAGGCTTCGGGTAGAAAAAGAACACAAAGCATCCTGATAACCTTTCATACTGACTACACATGGGATGGATACATTACATCTTTATAGCTAAATTAAATAAACATATTACTAAAGTGACTTTCAACCATCTCTCTTGCCTTTTTAAAATGTGGCTACTAGAAAATATGAAATTGCATATGGTGGACGCATTTGGGCTGGTATTAAATTTCTCCTGAACAGGGTTGTTGCAAAGCAGAATTGGAGTCACCACTGTTAAGTCCTTGGGTCTTACTCAGATTTTCTTTTCTCTGGGGAAAAGGAAAGATTCCTTGTTCTATGGATGATGAGAAAGAAAACAGCCTTGACCTTTGGAGCTCATGATGCATCCACTGGAGCTTGAGCTCCGCTGTGGAAGCAGGAAATGCCAGTTAAATTCCATAACAAATGAGGGAGATGCAGACTGACCCCACAGTGCGCCTTCCATGGTCTTGTGCAATGTCTAGGAGCTGTGCTGAATGCTCTCAACAATCTGATTCTGTATTTTTGCCAGCATGGGGAGGAGAAAGCCATCTAAACACATTTCAAAGAGGAGTATGGGTGTGAGCCAGCGCGCTGAGCTCAATAAGGCTCTAAACCGTGAGAGCTGGTGTTGACTTTTATCCAGGGATGGTCCCCTTTTATTTAGATCTAAATGTCCATGCAGAAAACCTTTCTCTGAAATTAAAACATAAATTTTCAGAAGCCCATGCATTCTAGCATACTGTTAAGTTCTTTATTTCCCCGAGCATCTTTGTTCATCATTTAAATTATTTTGAGAGTCTGAGTAACATAATAATGGATAATAAGATGGAGTTTACACACTTTCACACTTTCAAAGGGATTAGTATTTTCTTTTGTTTATTTAACAGGTACTTATTGAGCACTTATTATGTGGCAGGCATTCTGCCCAACATGAAAGATGCAATGGGAATCAAAAATAGAACCAGATTTCTGGTCTCCTGGAAACTACAGTGGGGTGTGAGAGGTGGATATTTATCAAATAATCACGTATGAACATTCTGAGAACCAGGGAGTAGGAGAATTCAAAGCTCAAGTGGAAGGATTAATTGTAGATAAAAAGAGGTCCAGCTCCTCTGAATGTAACAGAAAGGCTGACTCCCTGAATCCAATTAACTGGAAAATAAGTGAATGTGTTTGCTATGAAGTACATGGGAGTAAGCAGATCTAGCTGGGTTGTTTAATGTATTATCTCATTACCCATGATCTCGGCTTGGCTAGTTACTAGAGTGAGACGCAATTTCAGAGAATGGCCAATGGCTCGGGAAGAGACTCTTTCGTTAGGGCTGGACCACGGCTCAGTGAGTGACAGGTGCAGCCAATGACAGGAGCAGATAGAAAGGCTCGTCATCACATTTAAGAGACTCGTGATGTACCAAGACCGGCTTCTGTGCTGGAAGAGATCTTTCCACAGGATTAAAAGGCAGGGTATCAGTGCAAGAGCTCGAAATACAGGCTGAACTTGCAGAAGGCTGGGAAACAAGCAGAGGAGAGGAGACGGATGATGATACTGAAGAAGGAAACTCAGGTTTAGGGGCACTGTTGTCAGAAATACTTAGGAAAACCTTTGGCTTGGAGAACCTTGGGGAACCCGGTACTGAGCATGATCTGGGTTCCTAGGTGTGATCATGGGAGAGTATCCGGGCCGGAGACTTTTGTGAGGAACAGTCCTTACTCCCGAGGTCCCTGGTTGGGAAAGGAAGTGGGGACCGACAGGCCCTAGTTATCTTCTGTTTTAAGTCAGAATTTCCCACGCAATTCTTACGCTTTGAGAAATCCCACCTTAGCTTCCAGTGTCTCCCTGGATAAGTACGTCTCTGGATGGGAAGTTGGGTGAGGGGTGGAGCTGGGAGCAGATCCTTCAGACTCGCCGTGCACTCATCACTGTAAAGTACAAGTGCAGTCAGGGACCGGGCAGGAGCAAGCACGTCACTGTGGACACTGGGATGGCCCTGGGCCCAGTCATGCACCATAAAGGGAAAAAAGAAAAAGGGAAAAAGATTGAGAAGGTAGTGGCAGAAGGGCCGTGAGAGAAAAAGATACAACTGTCGGCCAGGAGCAAGTTTGGAAGAAGGAGGTGGGACTCTTAGCTCTGAGAGGGGTTCGTGGGTAGACAGTAGAAGCTGCCTAGGTGGGCTAGTGCCGTGTGAAATGCATTGCAGTCATTTAAGTTCATGTGATACTTATAATATCTGAAATGTATATATATTTACAATCAAATATGTATGATGGTTTATAGTTTTAGGGAATAAAGACTGTAAAATAGATTCTTTTTATTCTCTACATTTTCTAAGTATTCACATTTGCAGTAAAATTATTCATAAGTTATTTTAATGATCTTTATACTAGTGGGGTTTTTTGGCTTTGTTTTGTTTGGGGTTTTCTGTTCTGTTCTGTTTGTTTTGGTGCTGGGGATCAAACCCAGGGCCTCGTGCACGTTAAGCAAGCCTCGACCACCCAGCTAAGCCACCAGCCCCATGAGTGCTGTGCTGTGATCCATAGAAGTGTCGCCAGCTAGTGACGCTCTGTTCTCAGGCAGGAGTTTTGCATACTCAGTTCTCCCAAGGCTGTCTCCACGGAGACTAAGGCTGTCAGGTGACCCAGGAGCTGTGTCTTTGCAGAGAGGAAGGTGCTGGGGGCCGTGGGCTTCCTGGGACTGGGGATTTACAGTGCTGCTGCATCCCTGCCTCCCTCCACCCACTGTCCAGTAGCAGTGGGTGCTGCTCTGCCACGGTTTCTTAATAGAAGCATGGGAGCCGGAGGAAGGAGGAAAGAGGAGGAGAGGCAGAGGGTGCATTAACCAGGCTTTTCACTCCTGGTGCTCCGTGCTCTAAGGTCGACCTGAATGCCTGCATCTGACACTGCCTATCCTGGACAACACAAAAACGAGCCCGAGTCACCTTCCCTCTCCCTCCTACCGCCTTCTGCCCTCCCAGGGCACTCGAGTCAGAGTCTACCTTCCCAATCACCGCCTCCTCCAGCTCCCACGCTCAGCGCACCGAGACGCCAGACGCCCAGACAGAATCTGCTGCAGTGACTCCGGCCAGCCAACTTTGGCCCGCCTGGTCTGTTTCCACCCATTCTTTCCCACGAAAGTCATGAGAAATGCTCTGCCCAACACCTTCCCCTCCCTCCGCTGCCCACCAACGCCAGCTCTTTCCTGGGTCCCCAGTACCCCACGGCGTGACCTGTCCTCCTCTGTTGGTGTAGGGAACAGGGAAAGGGGACGTTACCAGAACCTCTGCAGTGAGTCCTAGTCTCCTGGGAGCCCCAGCAGCACACGGCGAATTACAGGAAAGGTAGACAAATGAGAAGAAGCTAAGCTTTGGGTCTGATCAGTGCTGCTCTGGGCGACAAAGACAAAGACCCCCTAGCTTGCAGCACCTTTTATTCAGTCCATGGGGAAACAGATGTAACAAGTGAAATGCAGAGTTCAGTACCTCACATTGGGATAAACAAGGTGTAACAAAAGGCTGGGGGACAGTGGACATCTAAGAACAATGAGGAACTATGCCGATGAAGATTTGGTTCCTCCCTGGAGTCTCCTGCAGGTGTGGTCTTGTCCTGGGCATTACAGCATCCGGGGATCACTGAGGTCTCAGTTGTGGCCCGAGGCCAAAATGCAATTGCGTCTGGAATGTCGTAGCTGGCCTGTAGGCAGGAGATCTAGGCCTACTCAAATGATTTTTCCCTAGAATTATGTAGCATTGCTCCCAACAGTTGGGACCCGTGCATCAAGTCAGCCTACTGTGCGCAGCCGTCACCTCCTGACCTAACTGACGATGAACCATTAAGAGGAAAGGAGACAGGAAGAGAGAACAGGGGCTGGGTATTTGCTGACCCGAGGTACTCGGGCTGAGAAGCTGCACCTTTTGTCAGCTCTGTTCTACCCAGGAAGAGCACGATGGTTGTATCTTTTGAAAGTTCAGCAAGGACACTGTGGAGACCACTCATCCTCATCAACACCCACTCAATACACAGGACAGATGTAGAGGGAGGGGTAGGGAGAAACAAATGCCAGGCTGAGAGCTGCAGGAACAGGCAAGGCTGGGGGCTGGACACATCTGGGGCTTCTGTCTGTGGACCTCACTGTTGGTCCTTGTGGTGCATCTGCCTCTCCCCTGTGCATAGCACCTCTTGAGTTACGCCAGGGTGGCCAAGGCTCCCAACTGTGATGGATTCCTGGGTGCCCGGGCTGAGAGTGACTCCTCCCCTGGATGCCTGGCTGTGCCCCGCTCCTTCAGAGTTCTTCAGCACCTGCCTGGGTGTGCAGGGTGATTTCTCCTCGGGTACCTCTGAGGGAGGACAAAGAAAGACAGGCAGAAGGGAGATGGGGGTACTGTAATTTTAAAATGGTGATTTTAAGGAAAACTGGGTTGCAAATGTGACTCAAGCCTTTTGCCTTCCAGAAAACTCATTCTGAAAAGACTACTGAGTGTCCTAAAGAGACAGGTAGCCTGTGAGTTGGGTCTGGGCTGCTCGTTCGCCTGTGGACTGCATCTTCCCACAGAACACTGTCCGCAGGGAACTCAGTGCTAAGAGGACAGTAGAGCTCAGCTCCCAGATCTCCCGGAACCTGTCTTCTATTTGTCTTTAAATAGCTTGCACTCTAGCTGAGCCCACAAACCAGCAACTGGGTAGGTGGAAGGAATACACCTTCTAGATCAGCAGTCCGGAAGATACCCCAGGCCACACATATACGCAGCTCCAGACCACAGTGCACGTCTGAGGGATCGATTTTAAATTCTGCCCCATAAACCTCTCACTTTGCCTCTCCGAATGTGTCTTGAAAATCCTTTTCCATGACAGAAGCCAGTGAACCTACACCCTACCTGTGGGTGGGGTGGATTGAGGCTCCCTTCTCCCTGGTGACAGGTCTTCCTTCTCCCAGTTAAGGGCATTTGCACATACAAGGTCTTCACCAGCATCTGAACCAAATAAGAGGGTACCTCCGCAGACTCCCCACTTCCACGCTCCAGGGCCCAGACCTAGAAACAAAACAGAAATGTGTTGCAATTGCAGTAGTGTGCGGTTTCTGAGAAAAACTGTGTGTACTGGAAACGATCCATTAATTTTAGTGCTTATCATATTAACTATCATCTCATTTCCCAACTAATAGGAGGACTTCAATATTTAATAAACAGTACAGCCATACTGATGTGTATCCCCAAAGTATAAGCACTGATGGAGTCTTGTCAAGAAAAACAGACCCAGCATTCAAAAGAGCAAACTTAAATCCCAGCAAGGCCTCACCAATAGCCCATAAATACAGGATTTGCGTATGTATCCCAAGATAACTACATAAAGTGCTTCCAGTGTTTCTGAGCATAAAACTCTTTTCCTCTGCACAGATTTGCACTTCAGCCATCCCGAGTGGGGAGGCTTTCCCTACAGCAGGACTCTCTCCTGGCTCCGTAGCATGAAGGGCTCTGTGTTACTATGCTCTGGTCCTGGCTTCCCATTTGGAGGGTTTCGATACCACAGCTATTCCATACTGCAGTGTAAATCAAAGAAACACAAATGGTACTTCAGAAAATTGGTGGACGCTAAGGGAAGGCCATACATGCTCTCGTATATAAGGCATTGAGACTTTACCACGCAGATTGAGCAAGGATCTCAAGGCGATTTACACGGGAGAGGGAGCACTTTTACATGTTAGAAAGATCATTTGCAGATGGAGGTGAACTCAAGGTCAGGCCAAGTACAGGAGAACAACTATGTGATTCTTGGCCAAATCCGTAACACTTTGAGAGAGAGAAACAAGAGAGCTCCACTCACCCACATAAAAAACAGGCACAAACTGGCACTGTGCTCAAAACACTGGAGCGTGTGGTCGTCATGACTTGATAAGATTTGGGGACACAGAAGCTGTTGAGAAATTTCTGAAATGATACATGTGGAAGACAAAGAAGGCTAAAAGAAAACAGTAATGAGATAAGATAGAAGAAATAAGAGGTATAAAGGAGACAAGGAGAAGCACTTCTTTCTCCTTTCTGGTTTTACTTTTATTAGAGCACTTTGAGGAACATAATGGATTCATTTATCCTGGGAAGTTGGTACAAATGGATGACACATCTTCGTCCTTTTTATTTTCCTTTCCCCTCCTCTCCCTCCCTTCTCTATCCATCTCTCAGATCCTTTCCCATCTGCGAATGGTCTACCTGCTTGTTTCCCATAACCTATCTTATTTTGCTCTTTAAAAGATTTAGACTTAGGGTTTCTCACATAAGAAAAACCATGTGATGTTTAACCTTCCATGTCTGAATCATAATTTTAAAATTGTACTTTTAGGAAGAAAGCAGCTTCAGGAAGCACTGTTTAGGCTTCTTTTCTTGCAGGCCCATCTTACTGCAAAACCTTAAAGACTCTTCAGGTCCCTAAGTTAGGTTAGTTGATAAGGTAAAGGGGAGGAATACCCTGACTTTCTCTTGTAAACTGGGCCATCCTTTAAATGAGCCATTATCTTTATTCCTGTGAGTGAGCCATAGCTTTTCTTTGTTAGTCAAGCCCAAACCTTCTATAGATTCAAAAATTTCACAAATTCCCACTCCCCAAAACACATAAATTTCCAGAACTCCTGGCTAAAAAAGACCCTCTTTCTGTATCTCTCCCCCAATTCTGTTTCCTTTGAGTATGTGCTTTACATTCTCCCTAATGGTTCGCAACTCCAATTTGAAGGGCTTGTTGGAGCATGTCCATTGACAATACCAGTGGGAATAAGGAAGACGGATGAATGTTAAGGATAGGTAGAGGATTAAACTAGGAAAGTTTGATTTATTGGTCACAAAGAATGAAGAACAGAAGACTTCTGACACCCACCCCACCACGTTTAAAGCTTAGAAGGTGGCTCATCGGGGCTTCCAAGTAAGGAACTGAACATACTGACAATCAGCGACTTTCTCATTAGGAAATGGAGATGAAGCTTCTGAAACCATATTCTACAATGGTAGGAACACTAAATGGTAATGCTGATGAATGGCTGCAGGCTAAGTGTAATGTAAGCGAGAAAGAGAAAGTCCTTGTGAGAACCAAGTTCACTTCCAGGGGCTCCATCTCCAGGAACCCACATTCCCTCCGTAGAGCATACTTCCTTTCCTTCCTTTAATAAATGTAAAACCTCGTTCTCATGTGTCCTGTTCAATTCTTTGTTCAGATTAACAAGCACCTAGAGAGAGTCTCTAGAAGGACCCCACAGAACCCCGGAACGCTGGAAACACAGTGGTAACTCTCAGGCGTCTGGTATGCATGGCACCTAAGAGACAGAGGACAGGCTAGCCAACCTTCCACCCCGAGTCCAGGGCGTGCTGCTGGCTCTCTAGTATCTCCTCCTCAGCTTCTGCCAGTGCCCAGGTATGCTTCACTTCACCTGGGCCATGGTTTTAGATACCATTTCTAGATTCATTTCCTCCCCTCCTTTCCATTATCTAACTTGATCCATGCATGTTTTTAAAACTAATACTTATTCAAGATTTAATTTTATCTTTAATAAATACAATTGGGTTTTCATTAATCCACTTTCACTGATTCTTTTTCTTACTTTCTTGGGTACTTACGCATTTAAAAATAATGAAGTAGTGTGGTTTTCTAGCAGAAACATAAGAAAGTTGAAAACACTATATATAAGAAAAGAAGAAAATGAAAATAGTATAAGAAAAAAGTAATTAGCCTCCTCAGGAGGCTGAGGAAGGAGGGTTGTAGGTTTGAAGACAGCCTGGGAAACTTTGTGAGACCTTGTCTCAGAACAAAATAATAATAAGGCTCGGAGGCATCACTCAGTGCTCCCTGGGTTCAGTCCCCTGGTAACACACACGTGTGTATGCGTGCGCGCACACACACACACACACACATGAGAAGAAAGGACGTAAAAGAAAATAAAAGAAAAACAAAGTCACCTATAATCCTGTAATTCAGAGAGAGTTTGTTGCAGTTAAAAAGTGATGTACTGTTCCCGTGTCTCACTACCTGTGTGTAGAATTCCTCTCCTAGCTCTTGGTCCAACATATGTTGCTCTATTTGCCTGGAATACTCTTTCTTTAGTTTTATATACTTTCTAGAAGAGCAGCCAAGCATGATGATCTGAACTCAGGAGAGCTAAAATTTTGGCATGTAGCATAAGGCTCCTCTAGAGTTTGGTATGAGTGTGAGTGCACATGCATGCATGCCGTGTTTGTGTGTGTGTGTGTGTGTGTGTGTACAGCAATAACCCAGAAACAGTACACAAGCATCATCCGCCAAATTCTACAGACCAGGAAACTACAAAGGTAAAAGAAGTCCAACCAGGCAAATAATTCCCTCTGCTTGAAGTTGGAATAGGAACAAATGTTTACACTTGTTTCCTTTGAACTAACTTCCTAAGTTTCCTGGACTTTTTTTCTTTTTTTTTTTTTGGTAGAGGCTATCTTAAAGAGAGATACCATTTTGTTTTCTTTGGTTTTTCTAAAAAGTATGTAGAGGAATGAATGACTGATTGGGAGATGCTATAGTTTGGAAGTTGAATGTTCCCCAAAGTCTTGGGGAACCTCTCACGTCTTGGAGGTGAGACCCAGCTGGAGGGAGTTGAGTCCTTAGGGTATTAGAATCCTGGCTCCTGCTCCTTTGCTTTTCCCTCATTGGCCACCATGAGTGAAATGGCCTCTTTCCTCCCATGCTCCACCATGATGGTTGGTGCTGTCACAGGCCCAAAGCAACAGGGTAACATGGCCAGGGACTGAGCCCTTGGACACCATGTGTCAAAACAAACCTCTCCTTTTAAAAATTGATCCTCTTGGGTATTTTGTGATGACAAGCAGAGTCCCACAGAGAAAATGGTGGCAGGGATGACCCTACCATAACCCTGTTTGCATGCTGAACTTTGGAAACAGGTTGTGCCAGTTCCTGTCTCTGAAGTGTGTGCTCTCTACAAATGAGCATGCTTGTGTCTGAGGGCCGCATGCCCAAGAGCCGAGTGACTCACTCGTCAAATCTTCAGTTTCCAAAGGCGAGCCCTAGTGCACAGGCACAGGAAAACTGGGAAACTTCCTCTCTTTTTTTTTTCTTTCTTCAAATGCTTAACTTCATTCATCTATCCATGCTAATTTGTGTGTGTGTGTGACTTGTGGCATTACAAAAGAAAACACCTAGCCCTTCATTAGACAGCCTTACCAAATAGCACTTCAGTTAGGAACAAAGCCTGTATTATGCCCAAGGAGCCCTGAATGCAGCACTGGCCAATTAACTCCAGAGGGGCAATTATAAAGCTCTCCTTCACAATGCTGTGATAAACATGTAAAGGTTTTAACTTGCCTCGCAAATGGGTAATTTTCCATTCAAAGGCATAAGAACAATAAATAAGCATTCTTAACATCGCCTAACTGTGACTATAGGAGACTAATGCTGCAGGGTATCAGAACACTCCAGTGAAGCTCATTGTTTTTCACTGAATTTTCACTACGTTGCCTTTTCTTCAACTGTCCCAGATTAACTCATCTCTCCCCTGCGATGATCACCATACAAGAGATACTTCTTTCTCAGGACAGGGTTCCACGCAGCTAGGATTTTCATGGTGCACCCAGTTCTACATTTTTAAAAACTCCTGTTCTTATTTAACTATGGTTTTGTACCAAAGAAAAGTGCAGCTGTGATGATGCAGGTGACAGAAAGTCTTCGCTGTAAAGTCTTCCTCCTAAACAGCAAGGCTGCATGGATAAGAGGAACCAGCCCATTTTACTTAGAAGCAAGCCTGGGAAGGGCTTGCCTGGTGGAGTTATCAGAGACCAGAGGTGCTGAGCACCGAGGGGGAGGGTGGAGAGCAGGGGCCCTTTCAGGAGACACTGGGGCTGCAGCAGCGAGGGAACAGGCAGGGCCAGACCCTGCTCTTAAGTGGATGCAGAATGAATAAAGAAAATGCCTGGTATTCAAGTACCCACCCTCAACTGCAGCTCAGCATGCCCTTTGAGGCTTTTCAGGCCTAGAGGGACCTACAGATGTTTAAGAAAAAATGTGTATATTTTGGACATGAGCTGCAGGTCGCTGGGTCCTTCTTTGCTCCAGATTGGGAGGGGCCGGCAGAAGAGGGCAGGAAGAAATCGCCATGTGGCAAGTGCTCCTTTTTGTTCAATTTGAATTGTGATAAAGGTCAGAACTGCACTTGAACCTCCAAGTACTGGGGCCTTCGAAAAAGTTTAAGTGAAAGGAGCAGCCAGGAGGAGCGTGCTTCTGGCTGTGCTCGGTGTCACATCAGCAGCTCCTGTGTCCTTCCACATCTGTCTCGGCCACACAACCCCCCAGCCGGCTCCGCCCACAGCTGCACTGTGCTCACCACGCGGGTCTCATTGGCACCAGCACTGACCGCCTTGGATTCTCCCGTGAATGTGTTGAAAGTGGCTTGGAAACACTGTGGTTAAGAATTCCAGCAGGAAATGGAAGGCACAAGTTTGTCACTAAGGAGGATTCAGTACAGAGATTGAGAGACTTTAAGGTGCCAATCTTGAGCAAATAGGTTGTAACTGAAGCCAGAAGAAAGAAAGAGAACACATTAATAAAGGAATATAAAGTGAGGGAAGAAGAGAGTTTGAAAAGAACTCTGAAGATCACCATTACTTAAGAAACATATAGTATTCCTCTAATCACAGCACTTTGGAAGGCTGAGGCCGGAGGATGGCAAATTTGGATCTCACCTGAGCAAAGTAAGTGACACTCTGTCTCAAAACAAGAAATACAAAGGGCTGGGCTTGTACCTCAATGTGAAGCCTCCATGTTCAATCCTCAGAATTGAAAGAAGAAAATGGTGGGAAGAAGAGGAGAGGAGGAGGAGCAGGAGGAAGAAGGGGATAAGCAACAGCAGCATGGATGAAAGTGAACTTGAAGATATCAGAAAGGCAGGAAGAGTGGTTGTGCTCTGTGGGCTCTTAGTTTCCCCGCGAGGGGTCTCGAGTTGGTGATTTTGTATTTTCTAGAATATCTATCACAATTCTATGCATATGTGATGTTTTAAATATTTATTTATTGAACAAAGTATGAGAAAAACCCACCTAAATGTTGCTCTTATTTTCCTTTCCATTGTTAGTTCTCAGCCGTGGTAGCCCAGTTCCACTCCGTTTTGGCCAAAGGTCTCACCTTCCCTCCGAACACACTGAGGGCCTTTGGTGGGGGGCTCTCTCCTCCAGGGGGAGCTCAAAGAGAGCACTGGAGCACGCAGGCCAAGGCCCAGACTGGAGCGGTCCAGATGGTAGTGGATTGAGTCTTTGTTGAGTTAGGGATGGATAAGAAGGTCCTCCTTTGGCTTGGCAGAGTCTCTAGGATTTCTGAAATGATACCTTTTAAAATTTTCCCATGATAGTAAATAGATCCAAGCTTGACTCCCACGTAAAAAAAACTAAATGAAACACTATGGTAGGATTCCTGGATTAAAAATAATGATCAAAGGGGAAGCCCTTTACCATGTTTGGCTTAAGGTGTGTTCGTGGTGCGTGTGCGTGCGTGCGTGTGTGTGTGTGCATGTGTGGATGTGTGTTTTCAAGAATTTGAACAATGCTGAACTTTTGAACAAGCATGAATTTATCATTGTACAGTAACATCTACCACTTCTTTCATATAATGTTTGCTCCAAATCACAGATTTGCGATCCCGATAGACATGAGTTTCCAAATGCTGATTAAATTTGTGAGAGGACACGTACACGGGTCACACTTGCCACTTCTGCAGGCTAAGCTGTACACGCTCAGCACCTCATAAATCCCAGCACTTGTGTTCCTTCCTCTATGCTTTCCCCACTGGGCGGAGCTCGGCAGAATAGCCGGAGGAGGAAGTGTGGGGCCGCAGAAACTCCAGTCTGCCTTGCTCTTGTTCTGGGGTTCAGCCCTTTATCTGTTGTTTCGGGCACCATGACCTCTATCGTGTGTTAAAGAGAACAAGTCTGAATCCTTTTGGAGTACGGATTCGCCTGGTATTATCATAAAGAGATTCAGAAGAGAAGACAACGAAGATGTGAACGCAAAGTTCTGGTAGTACATATTATACTTAAATGTTGTTTTCTTATACTTAAAAAGAAAATGGAGTACACTGAAGTGAAATCCCCTCTCTGTAGTCCCTGGTGCCAGCCGGAGCCTTCACATCTCAACACAAACGAGCAGGGCAGAGCAGGAGGGCTGGAAGGCTGCCTCGGAGCAGGCACGCTGCCATCAGGCTGGGTTTCCCAGGGTGAAGAAAAGCTCTTCTGCCATCCTAGAGGCACAAACATTTCAGGTCTCACCATGGGTAACTGGGAAAACGGGCCAGGAAGGGCCTACCAAACATAGACTGCCTGTTTGTTTGTGGCATAGTCTGCAAGCTCAAGAAATTTGCTCTTTAATTCACCCATCCAAGTCCCAGGAACCCTCGTTACGTACTCACCATGCGTTGGCTCTGCACCCCCAGAGAGGTGCGCGCGTTTCCCTGCTCGGACCCAGAGCTTAGCGCTACTGGCGAACGTACGCGGGAGTCCCAGGCCCCCAGCTCCACAGCAGAGCTGTGTTTTGAATCCGTGTATTTGGGACCATGGGGAACCCACTGGCCATGAGCTCTGTGTCAAGAACGACTACCCAGCGCTAGTACTCCCAGGTGTGACATTCCAGACAGATTTTTGATGGTGACTTTCAAGGTCGCATGGCAAAGATTTTAAATGAACTTGATGGAAAGTCAAAAGAAGCCCTTTCACATGCTCTTGCTGAGCAGCTTGGCACCCAGGCTGTACCTAATTGAGCGGCTTTGCTGGCTGAAGTGGACTGGCTTTAAGTCCAATCACAGGGCTGCTGGGAACAGCAGTCTGCAGCCTAACCTCGGGGACCTCGGAAGAGTGGCCCCTTCCCTGGGACCCGCGGGTCCCTCGGCTTGGTGGCAGGCAAGCCTAACACACTCACGAATCCCGCTCTTGTGTCTGGGATCCTCACACACTGCCCCAGCCCGCTGTAAATGGAGATTGAGTCTTTTTTTTTTAACAGCTTCACAGAGAAGCTTACATCAGAGAGTGTTAAAATTACAGGTGTTGTTAACTTTGAACATCAACGTGACTATTATTTTTTTCATTGGCCTGGGTAATAACCCCTCTCTTTTTTAAAAACAACTTTATTAACCAACTGTAGCTGGTTAAATACTGCTAATTTTAATTCTTTCTTTTCTTAAATATTGTCACTTCTTCTTAGAATATTATTACACTTGGGATCTCACCACTTTAGTGTCTCGGAGTGACCAACCAGAAGGATTACTAGAGGTCGTAAGTGTTCTTAGACTGACTCAATCCCTCAGAGATTCCTGTTTTGTTTTGTTTTTTTAAAGCAACACAAAAAAAAAAGAAAATAAATTCAACACAGCAAGCCCTCTAAAAGCAGTAAAACCTTTTTTCCCTCCTATTAGTAAAGGAAAACTGGGGCAAATGTGAATTGTCTAACCCCATTTCTCCCTTCCGTGGACTGGCTGTGATATTTCCTTTATGCCAGTTTGTTTCTGGTTCTGTGGAAAATATTTCAAGAAAATAACTTGGAAGAAGAAGAGGAAACCGTTCTTTAAATAAAATGAATGTATATGTGGTGTAAGATCATTAGCAGATGAGTCACAGCAGAACTCTGAGTTCAGAGTAATGACAGCAGACTTTGAAGCAGGTTCCAAGAACTAGCTCTCTTTCTCTCTCCACCTCTCCCTCTACCCTTCCTTCCTTCCTTCTTTCCTTTCTTTCTTTTTTCATTTCTTTTCTCTCTCTTCTTTACTCTTCCTCTCCTCCTTCTCTTTCTTTTTTCTTTCTTTCTTTCTTTCTTTTTGACTCTTCCTTTTCCTGGGTGATTTGCAGAACCTCGTAAGTTCCCACCCTGCTGGAGAGCACAGAACCAAGTCTTACCAGTCCATTAATGATGTCTCCATCTTTCCTGCTTTAGAGTCTGAATAGTCCAGCTTTTCTAAGTGAAATTCCCAAGGATTTTCTTGATGAGGAAGTGTTCTGCCCTGAATCCTAACTGGTTTGGACTGGACATTGGGCACTCCTCTTATTGTGTGGACAGTCTGCTAAACAGAGCCGTGCAGTAGTGACTGCTGCATGGAAGGCCACCGCCACTAACTAGACCACGCTGTGAGCTGTGCTGGCCTAGACCTGCTCAATCTGAGGAAAAGACCTGAATTACAACCAAGTGGGGAGCATGGGTCCTCTTGAAAAGAAAAGAAAATAAACTCACTTTGTAATTTTTAAAGTAAAACTAAAATTAATAGTTTCATTGAAAAAGTGTACATATCTTTTTTAAAACTTTATAAATTTATTTCACCTGCAACAAACACAGAAATGGAAAGTATTTCTCTCTACAACAAATAACTATAGCTCTGCCTTTGACATGCAGGACCCAAAATTTGCTCGACAGATGTGGATTCACATCAACCACACACCCTGACTGACCTCTGTCTCTCCCGTACCCCGCCACCTTCACTGACCTGTACAGGGCCAGTCGTGGACTGAATGCGGGTCACAAAAACCCAGCGGGCAACATAGAGACCTTGCATGGCAAAGTTCAAGGCCAGAACCAAGGACAAGTTTCTGTGACCTACAATGTAAGCCAATCTTTTGCTGTTTGTGATAAAAATAAAATATTGCTCTTATTTTAATACTGAATTTGAAAAGATGGCCAATTGTGGTAAGAAAAAAGATGGAATCCAACTCAGCAAACAAAAATTTAGCTTCTGTATTGAAACGTCCTCATGAAAACTCATAAAATGCTCAGTGAATGTTAACAAGAAAAAAGCTAAATAATACCCTCAGTGTCTTCTCCTTTTAAGCAAGTAGGGAACATGATCAGGAGGAATAATGTAAGAAAAGAAAATATAGAAGAGGAATAGTTATAATGTTTGCTGCATGACATCATCAGATGCTCAGAGGTAGGGTAAAACCTCTGCCACTTTTCAATAGCTGATCGACATACTTAACATGGGCAAGGATTTTCTGTTTTTAGTGTAATCTTTTGCCATTTTTTTCTTTCCTTCTTGTAAAAACTCACAAACTACCTTTCTAGAGGTTGAAATATTCCACCAGAACAAAGTGCACCCGTGAAACTCTGGTGTGTTCCTTACTTAGGCATGGAGAAGCCCATCGCAAACCCCACGTACAGGCTGGTCTCGCGTCCCCGAGTCCGACCTGTCTTTCATCATCAGCTCCCACTGTGCTCGGGTGGACAGAGGCCGAGCAGCCCATTTATCAGTTCTGACAGCCCTGCCTCCTGCTGCTTCAGAAAACCAGAGGGCCAGAGGGACCGCGCACCGCTCGCTCGCCCACTCACTGTGCCCAGGCGGGCACTGTCACCGAGCCCGCTGTGCTCCCTGCCACCCGCGCTGTCTGCGATTTTCACTCCTTCACTCACAGGTCTACGTGACAAGAGGGCGTGGTCAGGGCTGCTTTAGAGGCTGATTAGGGCCAGTGAGAGTGTTGTGAAGTACACGGTAGAGTGTAACCTCTGACGTGGTAGAGTTTTCCGCTGAGGCCATGAAGAGAAAATAGGTGAAAACAGCAAACACCCTCAGCTTTTGGCAGAATCCGGACACGTCCACCCCCAACGCCAACCAGAAATGGGTGTATTTCTTCTCTCGGCCCACAGCAGCACATCCCTAGGTTCTGAACTCCCCATCTGACACTGCAGCTCTGACAGCCGCTCTTCCCCGGGACCTTCCGTCCTTTCAGGGACACAGTTTCCAACTTCCTGGACTCACCCGCATCCTTCCCACAGACACTGAAACACCTTTCCCGAATCCCTCGAGTGGGAGCCTCTGAACCAAGCTCTCACCCCAGTGATGACGACGCTCATCCCTCAGCCCCACTTCTGCTGTGTAGCTGCAGATCTGCACTGTCTCCAACCTTGGCCACCAGGAACATGTGGCTGGGGAGCCTCACTGTGCAGAACTGTGTGCCAAGCTCTGCGTCGCTGGCCCCTGACTTAACACACGGTGACTTTACCATAACTTCACTTTACAAAGCGGAAAACTGATACATCTATTGACTAGGAATCTCACTTGGAACTCTGAATTTTTATCTTTTCCTACGTTAGCAACATGCTCTTGGATAAACTCTTCAATGCCAGGTGATAGCAGCAAGCGACAGGCCCATCAGCCTGGAGATCGTGAGGGGAAATCACCAATGCTCTGTACTGGGTGGCTAAACCCTTGTGTCTATTAGGTCAGGTGTACACAGTGCACTTCAAGTCACTACATTTTCAATGTGCAGTGGACTGATCTGGCTGTAACCTCATAGCACGGAGAATCTGGATTGGACACGTGTGCAATGCATGTGACTTCTCTCTATCTGGGATGTGACTGCAGCTGGGTTGTAAATAGCCAGCACACTGAGATGTTCTGTAGTATAAAACATATACCAGATTTCAAGTAATTAGTATAGGAGAAGAACACAATGTACTGGATGTCAGGAATTATGATATCGACTACCTGTTGAAATGAAAGTATTTTGGATACATTGGCCTCAGCCAATTACATAAATAAAATATTTTCCTGTTTCTTTTAACTTGTTTCAATGTGGCCCCTAGAAAGTTTAAAATTCCCCATGTGGCTCACATATTTCTGTTGGGCAGCACTGAGCTGGACTCTAAATCCCTGAATACTATATCCCTACAATTTTCAAATCTGCCTTCCTTACTCTGAATCCTTTTGATGCTGCTCATAGTTCACTTGGGTTCTTCTCTCTGTGGTCTGCTGTCTGCCCTGTCTGCACTGTAACCATGGAGACCATCCTAACCTTGTCCTCAGTGATGAGGATGGATGCTATTCCGTGCTGGTGCCGGGTACTCTACCTGGACCTGGAAGGGGGCTGAGGGTGGCATGTCCTCCAGGATCTGCAGGTAGATCCCTGCGACTCGCGATGAGTGTGCTGGGGAGGGTGACAGGACGCAGCTTCCGGGGGTGAGCAGCCCATCACAGATGCTTTGTGTGACAGACAGCTTTGACACTGAAGGCAGTGGTGGCTGTCAATAAGGGAGTGACAGGATCAGACTAAATCTTCATAGGGAGATCAGATTATAGAAGAACGAGAAAGGAATTGAACAGCTGTCACACAGAAAAAGGTCTTAGGGTTGCCTCATCCTAAGCAGACTTTCAGCCCTCTCCTGCCTTTGTCTGTGTTCTCTTGACAAAGGTTTAGTCTTGTCCTTGGCTTTCAGTGCCTCTGTGTAGAGGGTGGCACCTGAATGCATCCATCCATGCAAGGAGATTTGTGGAGAGCTCCTGACTCTCCTGCTCCATCC